TGGTTTTGTGTGTGTGTGTGTGTGTGTGTGTGTGTGTGTGTGTGAGATGTTTTTGATAAAGGTGGGTATCAAAACTTCCCACTGCATTTAGTGAAAAGATACAATTAGGAGGTCAATAAAATATTGTAAAATACAAAAAAGCAACATAATCATGCTTGTAAAGGATCTCAAAGCTAAAAAATGAGGCTGATGTTATAATTTAAAGACGAAAGTTTGAACTGTAGCTGCAACTGATCTGACATGAGGTCTATCTTTAGGGGACTTTTGCTGTGACCATGGTTATTATTTTCTTTAAAATAATCTACATTTTTCTTATGGAGGTTATATATATCCTAAACAGTGGATGTGTATCTCTACTAATGAATGAGGGGTAAGGATGTCAGTTTTGCAAGTATGCTGTGCACTGGGGTCTAGGTTTGGGTTTTTTAGAAAAAGCCAACCCAGAGAAATTTGGTGCAAGAAACATCATGGGCTCAACATATGGTCCGGGCAGCAGGAAAGACATGGTGAGCACCTTTGCTGCATACAGCCACTGTGGACATAGAGAATAGAAGAACATAAGACTTGGGGCCTTTTCATGGGTGAGAGGCGAGCACGCACCCAATGAGACCCTGATTCTGCTGATCTCCAGCATCACTTCTGAGTACGACGTCCCAAAATTCACATCCTGTTGTCCCCTGTCCTGCAGAGTGAATGTCACAGCCATGTCCAGCCACACTCTGAGACACAAACCGAGGTATCAAATTCACCTCAATGGGTGAATCAAAATCTGTCACCCAAAAGGTGGCTGAAGGTGAGGGGACCCAGCCCCAATTATCAAAGGCTCAAAGAGGCAGACAAATTAGAGCTCAGACTCAAATGTTCCCCTGGAAAAACCACAGAGCTGACGGGTGATGCTGTTCTCATTAAGACTGAGCGTAGCCCTAACCGGTTTGGCTCAGTGGATAGAGCGTCGGCCTGCGGACTGAAGGGTCCCAGGTTCGATTCCGGTCAGGGGCATGTACCTGGGTTGCGGGCACATCCCCAGTAGGTGGTGTGCAGGAGGCAGCTGATCGATGCTTCTCTCTCATCGATGTTTCTAACTCTCTATCCCTCTCCCTTCCTCTCTGTAAAAAAAAATCAATAAAATATATTTTAAAAAAAAATAAAGACTGAGCGTAAATGCATAAATAAATGGAACCACAGGTTAATGCTTCCTTCTCTCCCTGTCACTCTCTAATGCCAATAAATAAAATTTAGTTTGTCTGGGCACCTCGGCTGGTTAGAGCATCATCCCAGGACCCCAAGGGTGTGGGTTTGATCTCTGATCAGGGCACATACAAGAATCTAGCAATGAATCAATAAGTGGAACAAGCCCTGGATGAGTGGCTCACTTGGTTGAAGCATCGTCCCATACACCAAAAGTTTGCGGGTTTGCTACCCGGTCAGGGCACATACCTGGATTGGAGGTTTGATCCCCAGTTGGGGCACAAAGGGGAGGTCAATCAATCAATGTTTCTCTCTCCCTTCCTCTCTCTAAAAATCAATAAACATATCCTTGGGTGAGGATTTAAAAAAAAAAAAAGTGGAACAGTAACAACAAATCAATGTTTCTTTCTCTCCCTTCTCTCACTTTTTAGGATAAATAAAAATTTAGAAATAATTTTTTTTTTAAATACTATAAATCAGAGATTTCTAGAGTGTCTTCCTCAGGTTAAATTAGCTTGCTAGAGCTATTGGAGGAAGAAGGACACCAGTTGTTACTAGCAATTTGACCTTGGTTCAGCAACCTTGGTTTTTGAGTTCGGTTAAGAAAAATATTCAGGGTCAAGGATCTCAAATCATAGTGAGTTTATTTAGAGAGTTAGGGAGATAGACTAAGTTAACCAGATGGGCTGTGTGGGTTGAGGAAAGAGGTTATAGAAGCAAAAGGAGGGCCCTTGGAGCTTAGGAGGAAGAGAGTAAAGGTTTGTCCTTGGAAGAAGCAGGAAGTGGGTTCGTGTGCTCCGAGAAAGCAAGAGCTGCCTGGGTCTTCAGTCCTTTTTTGATTCGTGGCCTCCACTGATTGGCTGTATCCAGGGCAGAGGGTCATGAGTCATTGCAACCATTACATAGCCACACCAGGCCATGCTGCTTCTCAGGGCCTAACACTGATACAGAACTGATGTCTGATTTTATATGTATCATTTAGGGAGAGAGGGAGAAACATCAATGGGTTGCCTCTCCCATACACCATGCACCCCAATCGGGGATTGAACAAACCTGAAGCCTGGGCATGTGCCCTAACTAGGAGTCGAGCTGTCCACTTTTGGTGCTCATGGCGCTCAACCAGCTGAGCCACACCTGCCAGGACAAAAGCTGCCCTCCTCTTACAGAACACCTTAGAGGAAAGCACTCACAAAATTAGCTAAAACAAGATTTTTTTATCAAACCCGTTGACAGATACGCTACCAATCATTGCTATTTGATTTATCTGAATGTTTTTCTTTTTCTTAAATATTTTAAAAGACTTTTTAGTGATTTTTTTTCTTTAGAGTGGAAGAGAAATATTGATGTGAGAGTGAAACAGCATCAGATGCTTCCTGCAGGCACCCTACTGGGAATCAAGACCCAAACGGGGCATGCGCCCTGACCAGGAATGGAACCAGTGACCTCTGGGTGCATAGGACGATGCTCAATCCACTGTGCAAAACTGGGCAGGCTTGGAGACATTTTATTGCCCATCAAGCTCAGCTATTATGTCCCTTGTATAGATTAGTAAAGAAGGGAGTAATCTGGAGTTGGAGACAAGAGCACACAGATGCCTTTCCTAGTGCAAAGAGAGAAATTATAAAAAGACAAAGTAAAGTCACAGTGACAGACATGGGCAATACTATGATCACCGGGATGGTTTCAGTTACATGCATATGTCAAGACTCATCAAATAGTATACTTGAAATATGTTCTTTACTAATTAAAACTTTTTAAAAATGGTTCAAAATTTTCTTTTAAATTTTGTGTCCAACACTTCTTAGAAAATAGGTTTGGCATCTCTCTATTCAATTCAGGTTCTCATATCCTCTGGAGGTCAAATCTTGTCTTAGTGACATCAACTATACCAAACAATGAAGAATTTTCACCAAAATCAACAGAAATACTGGCTGGGTCACAAAAGTACATCCCTGGTCTATAGATACTTTCCTGTACCTTTGATTTCCTACCTGGGCACTCTGATCATCAGGTAAAGATCTAAGAGGGTACAGAAATGCACAAAATCCTTTGATCATTTTCAATAACAGTGACTTTGAGCACAGAAGATAAACATGCCTGGAGATCCTCAGATGTGTGAACACACTGGTCTTGCAGTCTTTTTCACAGAAACGTTTCTGGATGCACCTGGAGAAGAGGCCGATTCCATCTAGCTGGCTGCAAGCTTCTCCAATCCCAATTAAGCTAGTGATTGTGTAGAAGGCATTCTGTAAGAACTATGGTCCTAAAACCAGTGACCATCACCCATGGAATTGTAGACATTGAGACAGATGAAAAAACAAGGCTCAGGGGTTGAGAGTTGACTTAAGAACCAGGAGGTCATGATTCAATTCCTGGTGAGGAATGGGGCGTGGGGAAGGCAGTTGATCAATGATTCTCTCTCATCATTGGTGTTTCTCTCTCTCCCTCTTCCTTCCTCTCTGGAAAAAAGAAAAAAAAGACAGATGGCCTGTTGGAAGATCGTAAAAGAGCAATTCCCTTCAAATGTACTCACATACCCCTGACTGGTGTGGCTCTGTCTGTAATGAGAAAGTCCACCCACGCTTCAGTGTGACTCAGGTTCAATTCCTGGCCCAGGTTGGGGCACATGCAGGAGGCAACCAATGAATGGGTCTCTGTTTCACACTGATGTTTCTCTCTCTCTCTCTCTGTTTTTCAATCTCCCTCCCTTGCTTCTACTCTCTCTAGAAATCAATGGAAAAAATATCCTCGGGTGAAGATTAACAACAAAAATACTGTCATACTGCGCGAAAAACAAAATTCATGCTGATCCTAGAAGCAGGTGAAGTTGTCACCCCAGCTAGGTTTTGAAAGTGATGTCTGAGTCTTCTAAAACGCATAGCATTCAGGCTTCACATGAGTACCAGGAAAACCTGCAGTTTTTCCTAGAATGATGTGGGTAGCAATGCAAATTTGGCGGAAAGTTGTGAACTAATTTCCCCACCGTACTCAACCCTCAGAGGCAGTGAAAGGTTGAGAGCTTCGTAAAAAATTGTTCACTTCCTCATGCTTGTAGAGCCCAAATATGCTTATAACCTAAACCACTTTGGATGCAAAGTTATAGAGGACTTAAACAAAAAGGCCTTTATTATTATAAAAAACTAACCAGTTTTTTTAAAAAACACCCAACCAGTCTTTGGGTGACAGCAACAATGGAAATATTCACCAGAGGTATCTAGGGCAAGCGTGTCTCTGAAAAAATTTTTTCTGGACGATGCCAGCTGAACTCAGAAAATGTTCTCTGGGGTCAAAAATGGGTCAGGCCCATGCCCCAAATAGTCAGAGTAAATGAAATGCAGATCTCCTAGGGGCCCAGGTTACTCCTAATTTCCTCCAACTAATAAGAGGAACAAAGTCAGCTTCCCCGAGGACATGAGGACGGTGACTGATGAAAAGTGTGGGGACTTGCTCAGTGTTGGTTCAGGTGAAATGGATTCTGTCACAGAAATTTTCAGTGACATTAAGCCCTGGGCGGGTTAGAAGGTAGAACGTAAGTACACATGCTTCCCACATAACTAAAATTATGGAAAATCTCCCTAGTTTGGAGGATGGGATTTATGAGATGAAAGTCAGACCACTGAAGCCTAAATTTCCCGCAGTGCTGCTAACACTGAACAAAGTAACTACATTCCCTACAAACCTAAAAACTCCCTCTAATGCAGCAGTTCTCAACCTGTGAGAAGTGACCCCTTTGGGGGTCGAACAACCTTTTCACAGGGGTCGCCTAAGACTGTCGGAAAACACATATATAATTACATATTGTTTACAGTAGCAAAATTACAGTTATGAAGTAGCAATGAAAATAATTTTATGGTTGGGGGTCACCACAACATGAGGAGCTGTATTAAAGGGTCGCAGCATTAGGAAGGTTGAGAACCACTGCTCTAATGTGTATTCTCATGTTTCCAGAGGGTAGAATTTTGACTAAAAGATTACCCACATTCACAACACTCAAAAAGCCTTTCTCCTGTGTGAAATTTGATGTTTATGAAGATGAGTGATCATAATAAGAGATTACCCACATTCATGGCACTCATAAGGTCTTTCTCCAGTGTGAACTCTCTGGTGACAACAAAGTCCAGTGCAACAGGCAAAAGATTTCCCACAATCACTGCACTCAAAAGGTCTTTGTCCTGTGAACTCTCTGATGACAACGGAGTTGAGAGCTAAAGGCAAAAGATTTCCCACAATCACTGCACTCATACGGCTTTTCTCCAGTATGAACTCTCTGATGACAACGGAGGCTAGAGCTATGGACAAAAGATTTCCCACATTCACTGCACTCATGCGGCTTCTCTCCAGTGTGAACTCTCTGATGATAACGGAGTTTCGAGTTACACATAAAAGATTTCCCACATTCACCGCACTCATAACGCCTTTCACCCGAGTGAATTCTCTGATGAACATGAAGGTAGGATTTTGTGGTAAAACATTTCCCACACTCACTACACTCATACGGCCTGGCTCCAGTGTGAACAGACTGATGACCACGGAGTCCAGAGCAATAGGTAAAAGATTTCCCACATTCACTGCACTTGTAACGCTTTTCACCAGAGTGAATTCTCTGATGAACATGAAGGTAGGATTTTGTGGTAAAGCATTTCCCACATTCACTACACTCATACGGCCTTGCTCCAGTGTGAACAGACCGATGACCGCGGAGTCCAGAGCAATAGGTAAAAGATTTCCCACATTCACGGCACTCATACGGCTTTTCTCCAGTGTGACTCCTTTGGTGTTGATTCAGGCTCCACTTCTGGCTGAAGGACAGCCCACATTCTCCACACTCATAAGGCTTTTCTCCAGTGTGAATCCTCTGGTGTTCATTCAGGTTATCCTTTCTTCTAAAGGACTTCCCACATTCACGGCACTCGTACGACTTTTCCAACGAGTGAACGTTCTGATAACGAAAACCAGAGATTCCTCTAAGACCTTTTTTACTTTCAGGGCCCACAAGACACTGCCTTCCCGCATGGCCAGCATGGTCTGGAACAAGAGTGTCATTGCAGCCAATCACTTTTTTACATTCCTTCTTGGTATGGTAATTCCTTCTGTTTTGACATATAACCCCAGCCTTCGAGCTTTCACTTGGTTTGACTGTGGTGTGAGTAGCCTGTGGCTGAAGTTGCCCCGAGGCAGTAAGGATGCTGTGTCCACCCTTCTGACTGGGCGTCTGGGACACACTGAATGTGCAGCTCTTCGCAGGTGAGGCTCTGTCCACACCTCTTATCAAACACTTGCCTCTCCTGTGCTGCTCACGGTCCTGGTGACACTTCGCACTGAAATAAAATGGTTTTGCACACGCACCGCACCTCAACAGTTTCGGGCTGTGTTGTGTTTCCTGCTGCTCAACCAACTGGAAAATGTCCCGTAAGACTGAACCACAACTCTCACAGGGGTGGCTGTTCTGGGAAGACAAAGGTACTTTGGTCTTCTTTGCCTGTGACACTCTTACAGAAACATTCTGTTCAAGGGATGCCTCCAGATCCCGTGTTCCACAGCAGCAACCTGAGCAAAAGGAAACACTGGTGAATTACATGTTGAGCCCACAGCCAAAGTAATCTCGTTGGGCCATAGTGGCTCAGTGGTTGAGGGTGGCTTATGAACCAGGAGGCCACAGTTCGATTTCCAGTCAGGGCACATGGGAATGTACACAAGCCAATAAAAATTATCTGAAAAAGAACAGATGATGTTTGAAGTAAATATAAAGATACTAGAGGCCCGGTGCACAAAAATTTGTGCACTCGGGGGGGAGGGAGGAGTCCCTCAGCCCAGCCTGTGCCCTCTCGCAGTCTGGGACCCCTCGGGAGATAACGACCTGCTGACTTAGGCCTGCTCCCGGGTGGCAGAGGGCAGGCCTAATCCCTAGGTGCAGCCCCTGGTCGGGCTCAGAGCAGGGCCGATTGGGGAGTTGGGGTGCCTTCCCCTGTCATGCACAGAGCAGGGCGGATCGGGAGGTTGCGATGCCACCCTCAGTCATGCTCAGGGTAGGGCCAATTGGGGGGATGGGGCACCGCCCCCTGTCATACTCAAGGCAGGGTTGATGGGGAGGTTGCGGCGCCACCCTGTCACGCACAGAGCAGGGCCAATCAGGGGGTTGGGGCGCTGCCCCCTGTCACGCACAGAGCAGGGCTGATCAGGGGGTTGGGGAGCTCCCCCCTGTCATGCACAGAGCAGGGTTAATCAGGGGGTTGGGGAGCTCCCCCCTGTCATGCACAGAGCAGGGCCCATCAGGGGGTTGGGGAGCTCCCCCTGTCACGCACAGAGCAGGGCCCATCAGGGAGTTGAGGAGCTCCCCACTGTCACTCACAGAGTAGGGCCGATAGGGGAGTTCGGGCACCGCCCCGTCACACACAGAGCAGGGCGGATCAGGGGGTTGGGGCGCCGCGCTCTATCACCCACAGAGCAGGGCCGATCAGAGGGTTGGGGCGCCGCCACTGTCACACTCAGGGCAGGGCCGATGGGGAGGTTATGGCTCTACCCCGTCACACACAGAGCAGGGCCCGTGGGGTGGGGGGGTTGGGGCGCCACACCCTGTCACACACAGAGCCGCAGGGCGATCAGGGGGTTGGGGAGCTCCCCCCTATCAGGCACAGAGCAGGGCCAATCAGGGGGTTGGGGCGCCTTCCCCTGTCAGGAACAGAGCAGGGCAGATAGGGAGGTTGTGGCCCCACCCCCTGTCACACACAGAGCTGCAGGGCGAACAGGGGGTTTGGGCGCTGCCCCCTGTCATGCTGATCCCGGTGCCGGGAGGCATATTACCCTTTTACTATATAGGATAGAGGCCTGGTGCACGTGTGGGGGCTGGCTGGTTTGCCCTGAAGGGTGTCCTGGATCAGGGTGGGGGTCCCCACTGGGGTGCCTGGCCAGCCTGGATGAGGGGATGATGGCTGTTTGCAGCTGGTCACACACCCTTCAGGGTGGGGGTCCCCAGTGGGGTGCCTGGCCAGCCTGGGTGAGGGGATGATGGCTGTTTGCAGCTGGTCACACACCCTTCAGGGTGGGGGTCCCCACTGGGGTGCCTGGCCAGTCTGGGTGAGGGGCTGAGGGCTGTTTTCAGGCTGGGACTGAAGCTCCCAACTGCTCCTTTTTTTCTTTTTTCTTTTTTTTATTCTGGGCCAGCTTTAGCTCTGAGGCTCCAGCTCTTAGGCATCCGCTGGTGAAAGCAGGTATCTGGTTTGTTTAGGTTCTATAATCGAAACTCTGTCTCAATTCCAGCTCTGAGATCCTGGCTCGCTGAAAGCAGGTTTCTGGGGTTTTGTTTAGCTTCTATATTTGTTACAATGTTTTTTAAACTGCAGGCTCAGAGGCCGGAAAGGCAGGCGGGGAACATTGGTTTCCTCCGTCACTGAAGCAAGCAAGTCTCATGTTAGTTTCAAGCTGCCTGGCTGCCGGCCGCCATCTTGGCTGGCAGTTAATTTGCATATCTCACTGATTAGCCAATGGGAAGGGTAGTGGTCGTACACCAATTACCATGTTTCTCTTTTATTAGATAGGATGTGCTTGGACCAATACTGGACAGCAGTAAAGAGAGGAAGAGGAAAGGCTGACTGGTGAGCAAACCTCTGTGGAAATGGCATGGTTCAAAACACAAGGATTGAAAATGCCTGTTACCTGCAGAGCTTGCACTATGTGCCCCTAGTGGTGTGTTCTGGGGTGGAACTTTGTTCTTAGGAACCACAGCAGCCCCTGCAACATCGAACGTGACAAATCAGAGGACCCTATAGAGGATGTCGGCAGGAATTCCAATAAAAATCCCCTTGGTCACAACCTACCCCATGAATATAAGAAAAATCAAGAGCTTAACAACTTTAAGTAATAAGCTCACAAGGACAGAATAACTAAGAACATTAAGCAAATAATAAATGATCCGAAAGCAGAAAAAATATATGTTAGTAGAGAACTTCAATATTCCCCTTTCACAAAGGCTAGCTCATCCTGTCTGAAATAAATATGGAATTACTGTAGTTTTACTACATTTTAGAGCAACTCTAATCCTGTATATATACACAAAACATTCCATCCAAATGCAGAAGAGGCATTCTTGTCAAGCCACACATGAAACATTCTCTACGTAATGAAGTTGTTACCAAAAGGGACCAGGGTGCAGCAGGTCTACCTCAGGCCAGACTCTACAGGGTGGGTTCTTGAATTTGAGTAGGAAAGATTTGTCAACAGGAGTCCAGGTGATTTTGAGAGTGCATCTGTTAAAGCTAGGGACATAGAAACAAAGAAAGAACTTTGAGTAGAAGAAGCAACAGGGGAGCTTTGGCCCCTTAGAAAGGTTGCAGGAAAGCAGTGAGTCAAGGCAGGGCTGCTGTTAGGTCACCAGGATGTCAGAGACAAGGGGAACATGTAGATAAGATCAGGTGTAAGCCTGGGATGAGCTGCTGCTGCCAGTTGCTCCTCTGATTGAATGTCCAGTGAGAACCCTTAAAGTTTAGAGAAAAGTTAAAAGTTTAAGCTAGGAAAGGGCATGGGAATGGCCCAGAGTGAGCTGGCACTGAGTCTCTGTCCTGAGGACCTCTTCTTTTTTAATTTTTCTTTATTGATTTTAGAGAAAGATAAAATGTAAAAGGAGTCATCATTTGTTGTTCCACTTAATTATGCATGCAGTGGTTGCTTCTTTTATGTGCTCTTATCAGAGATCTAACCCACAATCTAGATACATTGGATCAATGCTCAAACCAACTGAGCTACCAGGCCAGCACTGTCCCGAAGGTTCTCTCTCTCTCTTTTTTTTTTGTTGTTCCTGAGGGCAAGCATCTCGGGGGAAGGTTTCATAAGAATATTCATCAGCTTTTCAGGTGCATTTGTAATATGCTAATGGTTTAGAATTAGTGTACAAGGAAGTTTGGGTTTGTCTTTTGTTCTGTTTAATGTTTTATTTTTTATCTTGAGTCTGTCTGGTTCTAATGGGGTTTTTGTTATTTGTTCGTCTGACTTTATCTATCATTCAGTTAATGTTATCTATCCTTGGGTTAACTGGTGCAAATGCCATTTATTGGATCCCTGTTCTCTACTTTCACAGACCAGGGGGGTTTGAGCTGTGAATTCTTTGATTAGAGAGGGAGGTGTAAACTATTTATTTTCACATGTTCTTATCTGGGGAAAATAAGCTCTAAGATTCGCAAGCTGGCTGTTATGTTGTCCAAAATGTTTTGAGGTTGTTTAATTTTCTTGTCTCAGTTTCACTATCGCACATGCCCAAGAAGTTCTGTAGTTTCTTATCTGCCACAATGGTAGGTCAAAAGACAAGTCTCAAACTTTCAGAAGAAATCACTTCAAGATTCTTACCTGATCACAATATAAGAAACTAGAAATCAATTCCAGTTTCAAGAAAGCTGGAAATTCACAAATATGTTGAAATTAAATATAACACACTCTTAAACAACCAGTGGGTCAGTGAAATTAAAAAAAAAGACCTTAAAGCGATCTAGAGGCACTGGCCAGTGTTGCTCAGAGGTTGAGCATAAACCCAGGAACCAAAATGTCACTGGTTGTATTCCTGGTCAGGGCACATGCCCAGGTTGTGGGCTTCAATCCCTTCTATGGTGCAACCAGGAGGTAGCCGATCGATGTTTCCTTGTCATTGATGTTTCTATCTCTCTAATCCTCTTCCTTCCTCTCTCTCAAAATCAATAAAAACATATAAAATATATATGAAAAACCCCACAAACATCTGGAGGCAATGTGTACAGAAAGACAACTTACCAAAGCTTATGAATGGGGTGAGGAGATGCAAGCCCAAGAGTAAATTGTATACAGATAAATGCCTGTATTAAGACAAATCTGAAACACACAGCAGCCTAACCCTGCTCCACAGGAAATTAAAAACACATCACGAAAGTAAACCCAGAGCTAGCAAAAGAAGCAATCAATGTTAGAACTGACATATATAAAATAGAAATAGGAAAGGCAAAAAGAGGAATAGCATAACTAAGGGCTGTTTTTTTAATTTGTATACTTATTTTTTTCTTTGTTAATCCTCTCTGGAGGTTATTTTTCCATTGCTTCAGAGACAGTAGAAGGGAGGAAGGGAGGAGGAGAGTGGAGACAGAAACACAGATGTGAGACACACAGACTGGTTTCCTCCCACATGTGTCCCATGGGGGATGGGGAGGGAATCCACAACCCAGGCACATGCCCTTGACCTGGAATTGAACCCGACACCCTTGGGTCCCTGGGTCGATGCTTTAACCGCTGAGCAAAACAGGCCAGGACCAGCAGTTTTTTTTTTATAACATGCACAAAACTGGCTAAACGTTAGCTACATTGAACCAAGAGAAACAACACTCAAATAAATCAAAGCAGAAATGAAAGACAGTACAGCTGACACTATGAACTACAAACCATCATCAGAGATGTTGGCAGATGACATACAGACACAACATCTAGAAAATTGTCAAGATTCCACTATAAGCTTTGCAAATTATCAATGATGAGAGAGAATCATTGATTGGCTGCCTCCTGCACGCCCCCTACTGGGGATCGAGCCCGCAACCCAGGCATGTGCCCTTGGCCGGAATCGAACCTGGGACCCCTCAGTCCGCAGACCGACGCTCTATCCATTGAGCCAAACCAGCCAGGGCAGAGTGATGTTCTTTCTTACCCAGTGAGGATATGAGAGCAAAATTCTCCAGCATCACATCGAGGTATAGGCCTCTCTGAGCCTCGTCAAGAAGCTGCCATTCTGTCCCCGAGAAGTACACAGCGACATCCTCAAAGGTCACACCAACCTGTCAGAATGAATACAGTGAGTCAGTAATAGTCTGTCTGAGAACCCACAATCCTACTCTTTTCCACAACCAACCACCTTCAGGCCCCCCAGTTCACAGAAGACACCCGGCCTTGGTGCCAGTGCTGCCTGCTCTCTCAGCTCAGTCCCATAAGTCACTCTTATCACCCTCAGCAACAGGCAGGAGAAGGGGAAGGGGTGGCGAGGCAGATAAATGCCATCTACGCTCTGGGCCATGGCAGAAGGGCTCCATCATTAATGCCACGCAAACCCACTGGGATGTCCCAGATCATTCCTGCAGGACATAGCAAAACGTGGGCTCCAAACCACACACCAGGTACCCTTGACCGGCAGCCCCAACATCCGATCAGCTCCAGGTGAGCAGGTCTCCGCTGTATCCCCGCCCAGCCCTGTAGTCTGGTGACCTGCAGACTCTCTATCCCAGTGCTGCCCCTTTCCAGCTCTGTGACCTTGGGCGAGGAATCAACTCCCTGCTCCTCACTGTCCCCATCACCCCTGCTAAGGTAAAAATCATTCAAACATGTAAAGAACTTCTGTGAGTTTATTGGAGCCAAACTATCTACAATTTCGGGAAAGCAGAATCTCAACGGATTAGGATAATGCTCCGGAGAATGGCAATTTTGCACCTTGTTTTATACATTATCATCCAAGGAGGAGATGTAAGTCAGTTTCATGAAACCCACTGGTTATGGACTAGGGAGACAGGAGAAAGCAAAGCTGGAGAAGCCGCTGGAATTGGATATACTAGGTGTACCGGTTAATAATGCGGATTTTGTAATCAAAGAAAACACAATCATTTCAAGAGAAACATCAAAAGTGCTTTATTCAAAGTAATGTCCATTGCCAGCTACACATTTCCCCCATCTTTCAGGTAATTTGTGGATATTGTCCCAACAGAACTTTTCTTGTTTTGAGGCAAACCATTCAGAGACCCAATTTTCCACTTCTTCATACGTTTTGAAGTGCTGCTCAGAAAGTGCGTGTGCCATCGATCGAACAAGTGGTCATCTGAAGCAGCAAGGTCTGGTGACTACGGCGGGTGGGTTAATACTTCCCAGGCAAGATCTTTTAATGTGTCTTTAACTGGTTTTGAAGTGTGTGATGGTGCATTGTCATGAAACAAAATTACTTTGCCATGTCTTCTGGCCCATTCTGGTCGTTTTACGATCAAAGCGTTTTATGATCAATTGACCTGGACGTTCTCTGTCTTTCACATTGAAGTCATCACTTTTAAAGCGTTTAAACCAGCGTTCACAAGTATCCTGAGATGGAGCATGTTCACCATAAGCTTCCCGAAGTATACGATAACTTTCAGCAGCACTTTTCTCCAAAATAAAGTAATGAATTAAAACTTCCTGCAAATACTCTTTTTTTGGCACAAAATTCGACATTTTTAAGCATAAAAATATCCATGATGTTAACACCTTCAGCAAATCTGACATATGAAGTTTGGAAGCTTGTTGTCAATACAACAAAATAGCATACATATCAAATCGCATATATATCAACATATGTGTAACTCCATCTACTGAAAAAAATCCGCATTATTAACCGGTAACTAGTAAAAAGTAAAATGAGCCTTAGCTGGTTTTGCTCAGTGGATAGAGCATTGGCCTGTGCACTGAAGGGTCCTGGATTCGATTCCAGCCTAGGACACATTCCCTGGGTTGGGAGCTCAATCCCTAGTGGTGGCATAGCAGAGGCAGGCGATCAATGATTCTGTCTCATCATTGATGTTTCTATCGCTCTCTTCCTTTCTCTCTGAAATCAATAAAAATACACTTAAAAAACGTAAAGGACACTTAATTCTTTTACTTAGGTGGGTGCAGGATAATTAACAGTCAATAATATATAATAATAAAAGTGTAATATGCTAATTAACCAGAGAGTCAAACTACCGTCTGGATGTCATTCCAGACGTCCTTCTAGACTAAACTACGGCAGTAGGGCCGAGGCAGAGGCAGTTAGGGGCAATCTGTCAGGCAGGCAAGTGTTAAGGGGTGATCAGGCAGGCAGGCAGAGTGGTTAGGGGTGAGCAGGAAGGCAGGCAGGCCAGCAGTTAGGAGCCAGTGGTCATGGATTGTGAGAGGGATGTCCGAGGGGTCCTGGATTGCGAGAGGGTGCAGGCTGGGCTGAGGGACCCCCCCCTCCCATGCACAAATTTTGTGCACTGGGCCTCTAGTAAACATTATAACAATAACAATGAAGGAATTTATGGCCTCAGTCCTGGAGCCCAAGTGCATTTGGCTATGCCCTGAGGGGGCTGGAAGGTTAAGTTACAAGTTACCCTGACAGTTCACAGGCAGGTTATCTTAGATACAAAAAGATAATAGGCTCACTTAAGGTAAAGAGTGACCTTTGTCAGGGAAGAGACTGGCCTAGGGCATGACTACCTACTATAAGCTGCTTTTAGTTAAAGTTTTTGTGTGTGTGTGTGTCTGTGTGTGTGTGTTTTTCAGTCTCTGGGTCGCCACTTTCAATCTCAGGGTTCTCCCCTGCAAGTTTTCCGTTGATTATTCCGGAATTTATTCTGTGTTTTAGTTGTCATTCCAGTATGTTCCTGGGGGCATGTCCGTGTAGCATCCACTAACTCCGCCGCCATTTTTAATCCTCCTTTAAAGTTTTAATTTCAGACCATCCTTTGTGGTTCCTTTATGACTTACAGTTTGCTAGTCGGCCGTGAGGAGGCATATAAGACAACTGGGGGGCTAGCCATCTGAATCTGTGCCAGTAACCAGCACTCTGATGCACATTCTTGCTATAATAAGCCCCAATCTTATCTGTGAAGCTTGTCCAGCCTTGCAGAACCCGTTCCCCGGAATACTCCCATTTTACAGAGGCCACAAACCATGAACCATACCCCCAACCCGCCCGGGGATTGGCAGCGCTGGCGCCAGCCAAGCCAGGCCTTTGGGTGTTATCTCACTTCTCCCATCCCAACAGGGGAGGGATGGGGGACTGCAAAGCCCCCGAAAAGTCCAGAAGCCAGGTCCATATTTGGGGGACAAAGAAACTAAGGGGGTAAAAGGAAAGCTTCCCCCATATTCATCACCTGGGCTTGGAGAATGACTCCGCTGGGTCACTGCACTGGTGCATCTGCAAATGAAGGGTTTTTCCTGAACCTTCCGAGCACCCGTGCTTTCCCGGCGCCTGGTAATTACTTTCTGCAACAGCTGTGCAGGCCTTCCCTGAGCTTGTCGGGTTAGCATGGGGCCCCCTTTTTCCTCCACACCCCACTCTAGTCTGTTCACGCTCCATGAAAAGGAAAATGGGGGGTGAGGGTGGGCATTCTGCCACAACATCCGCCCGATTGAAAAACCTTTTCAGCCGGAACCGGTTTGATAGAGCCTCGGCCTGCGGACAGAAGGGTCCCGGGTTCGATTCCGGTCAAGGGCACGTACCTTGGTTGCGGGCACATCCCCAGTAGGAGGTGTGCAGGAGGCAGCTGATCGATGTTTCTCTCTCATCGATGTTTCTAACTCTCTATCCCTCTCCCTCTCTCTCTGTAAAAAAATCAATAAAATGTTTTTTTAAAAAAAGAAAAACCTTTTCAAACCCAAACACAGCCCCTGTCCCCACAGTTCACCACCTCCCACGGCCCCCAAGGACCCTCAGAATGAAGGCACCCAGACCCTCTGCCTCCCAGACGATCCCAGACGAGACGGGACTCCGACCCAGGCTGTTTAGGGCGCAGGGAGGACGGACCCCAGGATTCCGCGTCCGCCTGGGTCAGTGGCCCCGCGCTGCTCCCCGGCGGTCCCTCGGCCCCTCACCCCCTCCCACCCCCGTCACACCGGGTGTCACCCTCCAACGCCTCGCGGTATAGACGCGGGGCCTGGGCTGCAGGAGGGGACGGGTGCCCGCCCCGGGGCTGCAGGGTTGGGTGGGAGCGGCGGGGAGGCCCGGGGACGCACTTACCGCGGCCGGGCGCCTCCGAGCGGCCGCCGCCATCGGACTCTGCGGACGGAGCGGGCGGAGGCGGCGGACGAGGAGAGGACTCGGTCCCGGCCCTAAAGCGGGTCACTCGCGGGGTCGCCGACCTCACACCCGCTCTGTGCGGCAGGGACCGCAACTCCTTGGCGCCTCCTCCCTTCTGTCACCTCAAAACCCACATTGCAATTCAAAGAGCCAACGGACACCGACCAACCAGCAAGTTTCACCTTCTGCAAGATGCAACCGGAAGTCCCGCCCCAAATCCTGGAAATCCAACGGAAATGCTTTCGGCCTGATGTGTCATTCGCTCAATTAGCACTCGGTCTTCTGGGTAATGTAGTTCCCAGAGCTCCAGAGGGCACATTGTTCTCCGTTGTGAACAACTAGGAAGTTTGCCATTGGAGGGATCCGATGCTGTTCCCTGGAGGGAAGTATTTGCTCCTGGTTAATGGCTGCAAAAACTCAATTCTGACCTATCTACCTGGAGATTGGTTTAGGGGCTCAGAACCACAAGACTGTGCCACCCCCGCCCCTTAGATGCCAATTCAAAGTCCAGATGTTATCTGTGCTTCAGAGAGAGGCACAATGATGAGAGAGAATCATTGATCCATTGCCTGCTGCATGCCCTCAACTGGGGATAGAGCCCACAACCCAGGCATGTGCCCTGACCAGGAATTGAACTGTGACTCCTGACTCTAGGGTCCATGCTTAACACCACCAGCTGGGCACAAAAGGCTATTTTTAAACAGAAAGCCACAGGCCCCAAATGGCATCACCCATGCTGAAAGCCTAGTTTAATACCTGATATAATTGTAGTTTCCACCATTTCCAGAAACAATCTTAAACATCCAGTTTAATGTTTTCTGGTCAAGCTCCAGTAATGGAATTATGTCTCATGAACTTTTTCCACCCCCCATAGAAAAAACAGGTAACATCATGATAAAAAATTTTCCAGGTCTTTTTCTTATAGAAAAGGTGCCCTTTCTAAAAAAAAATAAAAAAATACTGTGTTAAGTTTAGTAAATTATCTGCCTCGTGTAAAACGTTTTAAATAAGACCCTCCTTTTCCCCTAGGTGGAGGTAATTGTCTGAAATAAGTCACTTTTTTAGCTTCTTAATCCCCACCTTATAAGATTTTACCAATAAAAATGTTCCCTTTTTTACAATTCTTAATATACTGTTCAATTTGCTAGATGGATTGGTTCCCATTTATGAATCTGTTAAAGCAATTACATATTTAAGTTTACTCCACTGAATTTTGTTTTTTAACACTATTAATCAATTATAGCCCCATCATGTCAATTATTTGAGTGTGACCTTGGTATGCCAAGGTTATGGGTTAGATCTCTGATCAGGGCATATACAAGCAGCACTCAATGAATGCATAAATAAATTTTTCACTCTCTCATTCTCTCAAGTCAATAAATAAAAATTTAACTTTATCCCTGACCATTTTGGCTCAGTGGATAGAGCATCGGCCTGTGGACTGTAAGGTCCCAGGTTCGATTCTGGTCAAGGGCATGTACCTTGGTTGTGGCCACATCCCCAGTAGGAGGTGTGCAGGAGGCAGCTGATCAATGTTTCTCTCTCATTGATGTTTTTAACTCTATATCCCTCTCCCTTCTTCTCTGTAAAAAATCAATAAAATATATTTAAAAATTAAAAAAAAATTAACTTTGGCTGGGTACCTCAGTTGGTTAGAGTGTCATCCCAATATGCCAAGGTTGTGGTTTTGATTTCCGGTCAGGGCACATACAAGAATCTGCCAATGAATGCATCAATATGTGGAACAAGCCCTGGCTGAGTGGCTCAGGTGGTTGGAGTATCAACCTGTACACCAAAAGTTTTCGGGTTCGATTCTCAGGGCATATACCTGGGTTGCAGGTTTGATCTCCAGTAGGGGCACATAGGGCGTCAACCAATCAATATTTTTCTATCCTTTCCTCTCTCTAAATATCAATAAACATATCCTGGGGTGAGGATTAAAAACACAAAGTGGGACAGCAACAACAACAAAAATCAATGTTTCTTCCTCTCCCTCTCTTTAAAATCAACAAGTAAAAATTTAGAAATAATAATTTTTTAAATATATTTAATTGAGTTTTTACAGAGAGGAAGGGAGAGGGATAGAGAGTTAGAAACATCGATGAAAGAGAAGCATCAATCAGCTTCCTCCTGCACACCTCCTACTGGGGATGTGCCTGCAACCAAGGTACATGCCCTTGACCAGAATAGAACCTGGGACCCTTCAGTCCACAGGCCAATGTACTATCCACTGAGCCAAATCGGTTAGGGCTAGAAATAATAATTTTAAAAATACTATAAATCAAGGGTTTCTATAACAGCCTGCTCAGGTTAAATTAACTTGCTAGAGCTGTTGGTGGCAAAACCACACCAATTGTTACTGGCGATTTGACCTTGGTTCAGAACCTTGGCTTTTTAATTTGGCTGAGAAAACAATTCAAAGCCAAGGACTCAAATCATAGTGAGTTTATTTAGAACGTTAGGGAGATAGACTAAGTAAGACAGATGGGCTGTGTGGACTGAGGAAAGAAGTTACAGAGGCAAAAGGAGGGCCCTTGGAGCTTAGGAGGAAGAGAGTAAAGGTTTGTCCCTGGAAGAAGCAGGAAGTGGGTTCGTGTGCTCCAGAGAAAGCAAAAGCTGGGTCTTTTGTCCTTTTTTTATTTGTGGTCTCCACTGATTGGTTGGAGTCAGGGTACAGGGTCATGGTCATTGCAGCCATTACATCGCCATGTCTGGCCTTTCTGCTTCTCTGGGCATGAAGCTGAAACACAAGTGATGCCTGGAGATATAGATATAGGTATGGATATGGATATGGATATGGATATGGATATGGGTATGGATATGGATATGGATATGGATATAGGTATGGATATGGATATGGATATGGATATGGATATGGATATAGGTATGGATATGGATATGGATATGGATATGGATATGGATATGGATATAGGTATGGATATGGATATGGATATGGATATAGGTATGGATATGGATATGGATATGGATATGGATATGGATATGGATATGGATATAGGTATGGATATGGATATGGATATGGATATGGATATAGGTATGGATATGAATATGGATATGGATATGGATATAGACAGATATACACATGCATTATTTAGAGAGAGGGAGAGAGAAACATCAATGGGTTGCCTCTCTCACCCACCCACACACCCCAACTGGAAATGGAACAAACCTGAAAACTAGGCATGTGACCTGATTGGGACTGGAACTGTAGACTTTTGGTGCACAGGGTGGCGCTCAACCAACTGAGCCACACCTGCCAGGGCAAAAGCTGCCCTCCTCTTAAATAACACCTTAGAGAAAAGTCCCCCCAAATTAGCAAAAACAAGCTGTGTTACCAAATTTATTGGCAGATACGCTACCAATCATTGCTATTGAATATCTCTGAATCTTGTTCTTTTCCTTAAATATTTTTAAAGACTTTTTAGTGATTTATTTATTTATTTTTAAAGAGAGAGGAAGAGAAATATTGCTGTGAAAGTGAAACAACATCGACTACCCCCTCCACGCCCCCACCCCGGCACATCATCTCCTGCTGGAAATCAAGACCCAAACCAGGCATGTGTCCTGACTGGGAATGGAACCAGCGATCTCTTGGTGCATAAGATGATGCTCAATCCACTGTGCCACTCTGGCTGGGCTTGGAGGCCTTTTATTGCCCAACTGCTCACCTATTATGTCCCTTGTATAGATTAAGAAAGAAAGGAGTAATTTGGGGTTGGAGACAAGAGCACATAAATGCCTTTACTATTGAAAAGAGAGAGAGAAATTATAAAAAGACACGAAGTAAATTCACAGTGACAGCCATGGGCAATACTATGACCATGGTGATAGTTTCAGTTTCATGCCTATGTCAAGACTCATCAAATACTACACTTGAAATGTGGTCTTTACTAATTAAAACGTTTGTAAAATGGTTCAAAATGTCAAAGTAAAATTTTGTATGTCCAACACTTCGTTTGGCCTCTCTCTATTCAATCCAGGTTCTCCTATCCTCTGACTGGGTCACAAAAGCTACATCCCTGGTCTATAGATGCCACTTTCCTTTACCTTTGATTTCCTGCCTGGGCACTCTGATCATCAGGTCAAGATCTAAGACGGTACCAAAATGCACAAAACCCTTTGATTATTTTCAAGGACAATGAGTTTGAACACAGAAGATAAACATGCCTGGAGGTCCTCAGATGTGGATCTCCAATCTTTTTCACAGAAACGTTTCTGGATGCACGTATAGAGGAGACCAATTCCATGTCGCTGGCTACAGGATTCTCCAATCCCGCTGAAGTTAGTGATTCTGTAGCAATCATTTTGTAACCTCTATGGTCCTAAAACCAGTGATCATCACCCATAGAATTGTACACATTAAGACAGAAGACCCACGGTAAGATCTTAAAGGTCAATTACCTTCACATGTACTGGCCTAGCCCTGGCCTGTGTGACTGTGAGGTCAGAGTGTCCGCCCCGGCTTCAATGTGTTTTGCGTTAGATTCCCAGTCAGGTGCACAACATTCTTTTTGAAAACAGGAAGTCCCAACAAATTTCTGCCTGTTCCCTGGAAGGAGTTCCCTGAGGCCAGATGGAAATAACACCCTATCACCCAGGAGGGAGTTCAGCCTCTTTACACCTGCTGGTGAAGGGAAGCCTGTGACATTACAGAATGCAGCATTTTGTCTGCTTCACATTTCAGAATCATAGGTCTCCCAGCACCACAGGGAACTGTGGGAATGTCTTCTCTGGGTTGGTTCCAGGGGAGCCTGGAATCAGGGCCCACTTGCCCTTTCCAGAGGGGCTGAGCCTGGGACAGGTGACTCAGAGATATTACATCACTGTGTTTGTGACTGGCAGTGAGGCCTCATGCCAAGATCTTCCTGAGAAAACTGAGCAGAGAGAATTCAGCCAATGGGGTCTCCATAGACTCCTGCTCCCCATGGGACCCCGAGCATCCTTTGCAGTGGGAACACTGGGAACATGGTGGTGACCGAGGCAGCCCTGGTCCCGTCCCCATGGGGCTCTAGGTCCAGTAGAGATGCCAGACCCATCCCAGACAGACAACCCAGAAGGGGCAGCACAGAGATGGGGGACGTAGAGGCAGCTTGTTGGGGATTGTTTATAGGGGCTTTGCGTTCTCTACTGCACAGGTGCCTGCCCTGGATGACAGAATGGCACACGGGCACCACTGAAGATGAA